CTCCTTTTCTCTTCCTCTCCGTCCCTTTTCCTCTCCCTGCTTCCTCTCTCTAAGCATGTCCTGAGTGAGGATTAAAACAATAAAATAAAATAAATTAAGAAATGAACATAAAAAATTACAGCGTAGAAATATGGAGAATATTCACTATAAATTGTTGCATGCAAAAAAGATTATAAAATAGTATGTATATTATAATCACTCTCTCTCCTTTCCTCTCTCTAAAAATCAATTTTAAAAATAGTATATATGCATATATGTGCATATAAAGTCTAGAAAAGCAATACAATACAGATAGAATTATAGATGATTAAAGGTTTCTTTTTGCTTGTCACTGTCAGCTGACTTTAATATAAGGAATACATATTATTTGTAAATATGTATACCAGTATGTTTAAATGAAAAAAAGTGATAGCTCTGGCTAGGTAGCTCAGTTTGTTAGAGTTTTGTCCCGAAACGCCAGGTTATGGGTTCGATCCCTAGTCAGGGCACATACGAGAATCAGCCAGTGAGTGCATAAATAAGTGGAACAACAAATCGATGTTTCTCTTTCCCTTTAAAAATCAATAAAAAGTTTTAAATGGTTAAAAAAAGAAAAAGAGGGATCAAGGAAGGAAGAGATTGATAAGCATTCATCAAATTTGGGTGGGTTTGGAAGATACGGGAAGCTATGGACTAGCACCATGGTTGCTTAGAGGGGGTGGGGCAGGGCTGGAGGAGCTGGGCTGGGACTCAGGACAGGATTTCTGAGGATAGGGCCAGCACTCCTGGCCTCAGGAGCAGCATGGGTAGTGGACATATGCATAAGCTCTGGTGTGTTTGGAAGGCAGTTGAAGGCCCCTGTTCAGCTGGGTGTATAGGAAAGGGCATCATCCTGTTTTCTTCTTCCTCAAGAGACTAGTGGAATAACTTTTCATACTTTGCTACTGCTCACTAAAACCAGATCCCAAAAGGCTCATAAAGGTCCCCTCATCTATGACAGACCCGACAGGGAAGATCCTGGCACACCCTAGCAGTTAATAAATCACTGACTCTGGCTCAGTCTAGTGAGGTTAACTGACCTCTCTTTCCTGACTGCCCAGCTTTAAGCTCAGCACCATGGGACATAGAAAAGAAGTCCAGGATCTGATCTTGGCTGCTTGAGGACGCAGGAAAGGCCGTGTGCATTGCATTTGTGGTAGTCAGGAAAGCCATCCTCTGCTGGGACCTAAGCTGAGAGTGGTGCTTGGGAGCCATGGTAAGGGAAGAGAGGGCCTGAGGTTATATATGAGCTGCCAGTTGCCTAGTATGCACTGCTTTCTTCCATATTTTCTTCCATATTTTCACATTTTCCTAATCATTCTCCAAGCACTGCTTGGGTGGGTCCAATGGGTTTTGTTGTCTTTTCATATAGGTGAGGAAACTGAGGCTCCAAGATGAAAGTGGCTCAGATTCCTCCCACCTAGTGCTATTCCTCCCTTAACACCTACTCCTCCCAACCCCCAGACCCCTATAACTTCCCAGGAGGCTGGGCTGTGTGGCGACAGGTGCATGCACCTCACACTCTGCTGGTGCACATTCCCTCCCTTGCCTGGCCCCCTCCTACTCAGCACTGGCCTGGCCTCTGGAGGCCAAGCTCTGGTTTCACCCGTGAATGCTCCCTTCATATTTCCCTCAGCAGCAGTCTGCAGGGTGGGTCTAAGTCTTTTTTAGACTCTAAGAGCTGGGTTTTAGTCCTAGACCTCAGATTAGGCTTATTCACCTGCTGTTCTTTTTTTAAAATGTATTTTATTGATTTTTTTTTTTATAGAGAGGAAGGGAGAAGGAGAGGGATAGAGAGTTAGAAACATCGATGAGAGAGAAATGATTCAGCTGCTTCCTGCACACTCCCTACTGGGGATGTGCCCACAACCAAGGTACATGTCCTTGACCAGAATCGAACCTGGGACCCTTCAGTCCGCAGGCCAACGCTCTATCCACTGAGCCAAACCGGTCAAGGCTCACCTGCTGTTCTTATAAGGCATTCAGGGGAAGAGGGCTAGGCTAGAATTTTTTGGTAGTGTTATTATTTAACTTTTAGCCTTGAACCACCTGTTTATTTGGGCAACCCAACAGAACAATGGCATCCTGGGTTGGGTCTGGGTGTCATCTCACAAGGAAGCTGCACACAGCCCAATGCAGGTCACATGGGTGGGTCATGTTTTCTGAGCCGTGTGGATAGGAGCAGGGTGCTGCAGGGCCTTGTCCTGGTAGGCCTAGTGATGTCCACCATGCACCCTTGGAAAATGAGCTGTGGCCAGTGTTCTTGCTCTGGTGACTGCAAACAGCTTCATTCCCGGAGTGAGCATGCAGCTAACATTCTTCCAGACCCAGCCTCTGCCAGTTAATGTTTTATTAACCTTTCTCTGCTCCTTCTGGGTTTAGAAGGGGGATATACATTTTGTTTAGCTAGTTAGCCTTCAATGACTTTCACAGGTGCTGCCTGAGCTAGAGTATGCCTGGTGGTTGCATATACCCCTAGCTGCTGCTATTAATTGCTGGCTATTTCCATGCCACATTCCAAGATTTACTGTCGTAGAGTGTGAGGTGGAAAAGGTCATGAGGCCCTCCTCATTTTACAGAAGGTAAACTGAAACTCAAGAGGAACAGTGATTTGTTCAGTAACTAAACAAGTGAGTCGTTCTAACTGGTTTGAGACCAGTGGTTCCACCAGAGTGACCCAGCAGCCAGCCATTGGCCCTGACCCTTGACCTTTCCTTGACTGGATAAAGGCAGCACTGCCCAGAGACAGGGTTGGAGAGAAGAGATCCCTGGGGCAGGAAGCCAAACATTTATTTATTTATTTATTTATTTATTTATTTAAAGATTTGTTTTATTTATTCCTCACCCGAGGATATGCTATTCGTTTTGAGATAGAGGAAGGGAGAAACATCGATTGGTTGTCTCCTATATGCACTCTTACCAGGGATTGAACCCAAAACCCGTGTAAATGCCCTGACTGGGAATTGAACCCGCCTCCTTTCGGTGTATGGGATGACACTTCAAGCAACTAAGCCACACTGGCCAGGGCAGGAGGCCTGACATTTCTTATGTGTTGCCATGTATTTGCAGCCTCCTCCAAAACTGCCCAGTGGAGTATTCAGTCTGGAATTTCAAGATTTTGTGAATAAATGGTAAGTTGGCCCCCTGTTATCTGGAAGAGTACCCATTTTTGTAAGGTTCCCCACCCCACCTGACAATTGCAGTCGGTAAAATAGCCACTACTTTTGGCACTTGCTGTACATGGATTGGCATACTGCCTTTTGACCTTAGTTCAGCAAGCATTTATTAATGTTCTGTGGGCATGATATTGTGCTATGAACAGGAAGGTGAATAAGGCTCAGGCACTCCTCAGAGCCTATGGGGTGTGGGGAGCACAGGCAGGCAAACATAAGTAATTGGGAATTAGAAGCAGCTCTAGGCAGCAGCTCTCATGTTATCTTTCTCCTTTTAAGCTTAATAAAAAACCCTGCAGAGAGAGCAGATTTGAAGCAACTCATGGTAAGTCCATTTATTTCAGATTCTTACACTACCTGTGTATTCATCTGTTCTGTCAGTCATCCATCCAGTACTTCCTGAGCCCATTCTCTGCTCTGCCTTGATCACGGCAGTGCAGCTGGCCCTGCTGCAGGATACCAGATATCAGTCCCCTCTGTCCTCCCTCCCATCAGTTTAAAGGAGAAACTGGGGTGGCCCTGCAGACCCGGGAGTCCAGGAGTCACGGGGACCATCTTTTTCTTCTACTGACTGTCTCACCTTATATTCAGCACCCTCCCCAACGCTACTCTCCATCTGCACTTGCCTCCTCTTGTTTGGTGGTGGTGGGAGCCGGAGGAGTTGGGAAGTACTAACACAGATATGAGCTTACATGGCTTGTAGAGCCTGTACAGTGAAATATACACTTTCAAGTCCATCAGTTCCTTTGTTCCTTCTAACAATGGAGTGAGACACTGAAGGCAGAGCTATTATCCCTATTTTACAGCTCAGAGAGCAGGCTCAGGGAAGTGAGCAAAGTGCCCCAGGCCTCACAGCTGGTGTGATTGGCAGAGCCAGGCAGAGCTGGACTTTTGTTCAGCTGGCCCTGCTTTTCTGGCCCCGCCTGTTGCTCAAGGGCAGGCTCCGGGAGCTCCTTCCAGATGTGGCATAGGCTCTAGACCTACCAGGACTCTTGAATTCTTGGTGTTTTTTTTAACATCACTTCCTCTCTTTCCTCACATGCAGGTTCATGCTTTTATCAAGAGATCTGATGCTGAGGAAGTGGATTTTGCAGGTTGGCTCTGCTCCACCATCGGCCTTAACCAGCCCAGCACACCAACCCATGCGGCTGGTGTCTAAGCATTTAGGAAACAGCAAAGAGCGAGTCCCTGCCCAGTGGCATGTCATGTTGCTTTCGGGCTTTTCCCATGCCTCTGTTCAGATTGCATTTCACATACGACAAAGGATGAACTCAGCATGTGCCAAAATTCTGTTTGTGTCATTTTTAATATTACCATCCTTATTCTGTTATTCCCTAAGTGGATTGGCTTTGTGCTTGGGGCTATTTTGTGTGTGTCAATGTTCAAAACATGTGCCACGTTGAATTACAGTGAAACCTTGGCGACTGTGAGTAGTCTTTCTTACTGAATATTGCACTGCTCTCCCCTCACCATGATTGGCTGGCCACCTGTATTTTGGGGGATTCTTTTGATACTTGGTGGTACTTCATTCTTGCTGGGCGTACCTTCTTTCTACTTGAGGAAGGAGCCTTGTGAGAGCCTTCACAGGCAGTGCATGTGAAGCATGCTTTGCTGCTATGAAAATAAGCATCAGAACATGTATGTCATGGTATTTTATTATGTTTTTGCTTTTGGTATAGAATTCAGCAATTTCCATCAAAATCTAGTCAGAGCCCTTCACTGCCATGATAATTGGGGCTTCACCAGTCTGTCTACTCTGATGATTTATAGACTTCTGGTCATATTTCTATATTTATTTTTAAATATACTGTGTGGATACTTAGTGGTATCTGTCTCTTTAAGTTTGGATTAGTGTTTCTAAAATGGAGTTACTTTGAACGTTACAAGTGTATCAAGGCATTAAAATGTATGCGATTTACCTTTCCCCAAATCCAAGTAATGATGCTATTGTAAACAAGTGTGTATAGTGCCTAAAAATTGTACGAAAATCCTTTTAACCATTTTAATGCAAATGTTTAACAAATCTAATCTCTTACTCTAATAAATATACTATCAAGTTAAAAGGCTGAAAGATATATTTCTACTTTTGTGGTGTCTCTAATACATAAGAAATCAGGTGATTTAGCCAAGCATTATTTGTGAGGGGAAAGATAAAGACAGAAAGGGGGTCTGAAAGGTGAAAATGCCACCCTGAGGACGTCACTGCTTTGGACTAAACTAATAGGGCTTCCTGAAATTCCAATCTTTGGACTTTGTCCAACTCTTCTCAGCAAACACCCTAATCTGTGAATCTTCCAACCACCTTTCCCGTGGACCTGTGAATGGATCCCATCTGCTCCTTCTGTCTCTTTATGTAAGGGAAGAGCAGTAGGTGGGTGGGCTGGGAGGGTTGCCAGCATGCTCGCAGGAGCGCCTTGCTGGTGGTGAACAGTGCCTGGCTGGCATTGGAGCCTCCACTGGGATGGTCTGTCCATGCTGCTTTGCTCCGCTGAGCAATGGTTTCCCTCTTTCACTAGTTACACTTTACACCTTTCTGAAGAGGAGGAATATCTGGCGTTAGTTTTGTTATGTCTGTGAGGTCACAAAAAAGCTATATCCGAGCTGGCCACTGGTACCCATTCCTTCTTTGGAAAGTGACTTTTGGAACTCGAGGTCCATGTGAGGCTGCCTGGTCAGCACCTCTTCAGACCTCATTTTCTTTTTTGACAGGGCAGGTTATAGAAAACCAAAGTGAATATACAGGTGGGCAAAAGTAGGTTTACAGTTGTGAGTACGCAAGTTTATTCAGATGTTATTCATTGTTTTTCCATACAAATAACTGTAAACCTACTTTTGCCACACCCTGTATATTTAAAAACAAAAAGCCTATTTTGTTTTCAAATTAAAAACAGAATTTGGGTAAATCTCCTGAGCAGATAGTTCTACTCCAGATCTATCAGAGCTTGGAACTCAGCCAGGATTTTAAAAACTGGTCAGGGTTGTATACTGCTGCCTTAGCTAGTCAATATTTTTTTCTTGCAGTGAGGCTAATATCTGTTCTAAGTCAACAGTCTACCATATACATTTTTGACATATAAATATTCAGGCTGAGGTTTAAGACCCACACCTTCCTCATACTGTCGTTTGCTAACAGGTAAAATGCAACCACTACTGAGAATGTCTCATTAAAGCAGGTAAATTCTGAGACAGAAGGAGTGATGTAACCTGTATCTTTTGAGGGGTGTTTTTAAATTCTCTATTCATATCCAAAGGTACTACATTTTGAGAGGTAAAGGATTATTTTCCAGTAATTACTAAGATCTCATTCTCAAGAATGATGCTCCCTGCATCAGTCTTGCTATGTTGAGTTCTGCATGCCAAATTCCTTCCTCAAACTTCTTCCTGAAACACCAACAGTAGTTGAGTTTTTCAGTATCTTATTAGCATCTCACAGGAACCTGTGAAAATCACGAGAGCAGGTACAAATACCCTCATTTTACAGATGGGAAAGTAAGAGTTGCAAAGATGTGAGAGGGCAAGCGATCAGATTTTCTAGCTCTTAGAAACCCATGCTCATATTTTAAGTTAGACCCCCAAAATGTATGCCTTGAGGCTTTTTATTGAAAAACTATTTTCACATTGTGTTTTCTGAGAAGCATGTTCATTTAAACTTCCTGCTACTTCCTATAAGAGTAGCTCAAAATAACTTTAATGAAATGTTGATTAACAAACATATCCATGTTCTCTCTTCTGGAACAGTTACATAAGACGTCCTGCTTGAGGAGGTTCTTTTTGTTTTGTTTGGCTTTTCTGTTGCATGGACAGGGCAAATAACTTTTATAAAGTTAAGTAACTATTTAACTGTACATTTAATGGGAAAGGGACAGTATGCAGAAATAAATCTCAACTTCAAACACTAAGTTTTAACAAACACTTTTTCTGTAACTAACATCTCTTTATTATAATAATCCAATCTCCCAAGCATAGTGATTCCTTCTTAACAGCACATTTCTTCCGAAGTTCAGAAATGGGTTTTAAACCATCCTGCTGGCTGTCCTGTTTTCCCTAGAGGGACTGATCCGCTTCCCTATTGCTATCTGGAAACCAGCTAGCCGCATGACGGCTACTCATCTACAGTTTATTTCTATGCACATTTTATCATTGTGATGTCTCAACCTAGAAGTGATTACAGCCACACAAAACAGTCCGTAGTGGCAGTATGTTGCGATGTCACTGAGAGGTGGCAACATCTGGTGCTCTCAAGTGGTGTTCTGTCCTCCTTGTCATCTTTCTCTCCTAGACTTTGGCTATGTTTACAAGCGTTCAATGGTATGCAAACAGCCTTTAATTGGTTTGCTTAAAAGAGGCATTGTTGATTGAAAAGGCTGCCTTGTACTTACACTCTGCCCTTTTGGCAAATGCCAGACTTGCTCAATAGCATTTCAGAGGAAATCTTCTGTTTTGAACACAACTACTGGATCTGACCAGAATACAGACACGGCACCACCCATATTGCTCAATGCAAAGACAATGCATCTTTGCTTTTCTATATGTCACTAATTTTTGTTAAAGCATTCTGAAACTTGTATTATTATACACATCCTCCTAAAGGTCTTGCTTCCTTTTAAAGCAGGCCATAGGGCCCAGGGCAAGAATACTTTAGAGAGAAAGTTTCTGCGACTTAGAAATTTAATTTGTGTAACTAACCCTGGCTCTTTCCCCACTTCACGAATCTGATTCTTCTTCCTCCTCCTCCTCCTCCTCTTCTGGTGCATGGCTCCTTGTGCTCAACTCCAGTGCAGTTTGGTTGATTGATGCTTCATTGTCTACATGCACCACCATCTGCTTTAGCCAAGGACATTATGAATTAGTAGAACACTAGTCTCAAAACAGTAAATTCTTAAAAATGGTTTAAAACCAAATATCAATTGTGTATTCATTCCCAGTATTTACCACTAAGAGGTATGGCCACTTTCTTGTTTCTCCAAATTCTACCCTGTCCGCCCTCCACCCCAACCCGCATTGCCAAAATGGGAGGATAAATGCCCTAGATTTGACAGAATGTTACCTGATTTACAACAGTGTTTCTTACGTAAGAATTATGCTGCTTTCCAATGGTTTTAAGTGGCTTCACACACAACTGAGAGAGCTGCTAAACTATGGTATATTTAGAAAGATGATTTTACTGATTTAAAGTGGGCATTTGGTAAGAGGAGGATACAATGAGGACTAGAACTCACTTTTTAGCACTATGCTTTGTAGTTGAAGCTACACTATTTTTGAACCCAAACTTATTCGTGGAGCAGCAAGAGGTTTGACATATCCTGCAAAGATCTCCACTCTCCCTGGGTTCATTAGAGTAACTAGACTCGAGGATGGATGACTAGGATGTGGAGGCAATATAAGTAACCTAATTAATAAGTCAATATTAAATCAATCAAGGTGTAACCAGCAAGGCTGTTCCCTGACTAAAACAGCAATATTGAATAGCCAGTTTATCAAACTAGAATATTCTTATCAGTACTTCCCAGAGTCCTTCTGTCTTGATAATGTAATTTACACGGACAGCAGAATGGACTTTGCATTTGCTCCCTAGGCCCAAACTTGATTAAGCTTACATCATGTGACTGTTCCTGTGCAGCTGGAGAAGACGGCATCTCATTCTCTCTTCTAGAACTAATCATTGATTGGAGGGCCAATTCTTCAACCTAGAAAAGAAGAATTAAGAACATTTTCCTTACTATTTCACTGGTGTGGGAAAATTTACTCTCCATGCTGTAAAAAGTTGGCATCATAAGTGAAAACAGTGGAATCTCCCTACAGCTCCCTGGAGAAGGGTCGGGGGTCTTAAGCTTTCCCTGCCTTTTAAGAAAATGACCAAAGCAAGCCTCCAGCCCCGTCCTCTGGGGTGCACAGGTGTTCTGACTGAGCAATGATCCACTAGCCCAGATCAAGCGATTCGGGGGGAAAAAACACAAGTGAGCCCTTTAAAAAGCCAAGTGTCATCTTCTGATGCCACTGAGGGCAGATTCCTTAGGCTTGAGCTTCTCTACCTAGTACTGAGACACTGAAGGCAAGAAAAATGGAAGTATTTCGAGGAGCATAAAGAAATTTAGGCTTTGGAGGTCGTCATCAGCGCGCGCGCAAGCGCGCGCACACACACACACACACACACACACACACTTTAGGTGCCTTTGCAGGTCCTGTGGTGCTTTGAGAACGTAAATAACTGTAGGCTATCACAACTGTCCTGAAGAAAAGTGCGTATTATTTTGATATATGTCACAGTTGTGTACAAAGCTTTTCAGTTTACAAAGGGCTTTCATTTGGACTTAAAAATCCTGAAGAAGCCCTAACTGGTTTGGCTCAGTGGATAGAGCCTCGGCCTGCGAACTGAAAGGTCCCAGGTTCGATTCCGGTCAAGGGCATGTACCTTGGTTGCGGGCACATCCCCAGTAGGAGGTGTGCAGGAGGCAGCTGATTGATGTTTCTCATCGATGTTTCTACTCTCTATCCCTCTCCCTTCCTCTCTGTAAAAATCAATGAAATATATTAAAAAAAATCCTGAAGCAGGAGTTATCAGGATCATTGTACTGAGGCTGAATTACGCAAAGATCTGGGAAGAGGTCCTGGTGGGCCTAAATCTCTCCTCCCAGTCAAAGCCGTGTATTCAATAACCACTCCAGGAAGAAAAGCTACTGGGAACTCTGCGACAAGTCTTTTCTCTCGGGCCTCGTTGTCCTTTTTCGCACAATGGGAGAATGTGCGAGTCTCTTCTAGCTTTGCAATACTAGAGCTGTTTCAAGCGGCAATACGAGCGAGGAAATAGCGGCTAGTAAATGGCTTTCGAGCTCCGGGGAAGAGGTCGGTGGGCGGGGAACATCAACACGAGCCTTCGGGAGGTGGCACTTCCGAAGCTCCCTGCACTTCTGGAGTGTCGGGTGTGGGAATGAACTCGCCAAATGTGCAGACTGCTGGGCCTCAACCTAGACCTACAGGGTCAAGATTCTGAGGAGGGCCTTCATCTTAAAAACAAGCCTGCCAGGGGCTGCTAAGCCACCAGATCAGCGCCCCAACCGCCTGGTGAGGGAGGGATCACCAGCCGCAGGGGGCCGCTGCAGACACCCGGGCTCGCGCAGAGCCGGGCTGGGGTAGCGGGGCGGGGGGGGCCGCGGGGTCACCTTGAGCCGGTTCAGCTGGTCGTGCAGTGCCGCCTTCAACCGGAGCAGCGTCTCCTCCTCCTTGCGCAGCTCCTGGAGCCGGCTCAGCATCGCGTCTCCACACGCCCTGGCGGCTGGGCGCTCTGTGATGACGTCACCGAGCCCGCGTTACCGGAAACGGAACAGCAGGCCGGCTGCACGTGCGCCCAAGCGCTTCCTGCCCGCTCCACCCAGTATAAAGTGGGGGTTTTAAGGTTATAAAAACTAGGCTGGAGTAATGAGCAGGATTCCTAAAGCACAGGCCGTTGGAGCCATAAAGAATCTGAAGGTAAAAATGCTGAAGTATCGCCCTAGCCGGTTTGGGTCAGTGGATAGTGTCGGCCTGCAGACCAGAGTCCCCAGTTTGACTCCGATCAAGGGCTTGTACACTGGTTGCAGGCTCCTCCCTGATCTCACGTCTTTCCCTCTCTTCCACTCTCCCTAAAAATCAATGCAAAAACATCCTCCGTGAGGATTAACTAAATAAAAGCTCAAGTAGCGCCCTTGACTTGGTTCTGTTGGTTGAAGCATGTACCAATACACCAAAAGGTCGTGGGTTCCATTCAGGTCAGGACATACCCAGGTTGCTGTTTGATCCCCCCGTTGGGGGGGGGGAGGGGTGTGTGTGTGCTTATGGGAGGCAACCCATCCATGTTTCTCAAATTGATAAACATCGTAGGTTAAGGATTAACAAAATAATAAAGCTCGTGTCCAGTTGCAAATGCTTCAGGTGGAACAGTACTCCCACTTCCAATGTGATGTTACAATGAAGTGGTTAATGAAAATGCACAAATCCTACAATGCATCTTTTAAACCAGGGACTAACATTACCAGCATTTAGCACAGGTGCAAGTGCTCTACAGCTTTTGTAGACCAAGATTCCACTTTAAATGTTTCCCAGTATGTCGGTGCAAGCAGCTAACAATATTGGGGGCAGTGTCCTTAAATACTAGGAAACTATCTCTTGAATATGCAAATTGGAGTATCATACATCAACCTTGCTATGGATCTTGATTCCAAAGGGAGAAAAATCAAGATCCAGACATGAGTCAATTCTAGAGTGGTAAGACATTCAGTGACAAACTAAAAGGTTTAGAAAAATAACATGCTTGTGTGTACATTTTTCTGCACCATGCTTAACAAATCAATGTATTCATTCCTTAGTAAAACTTAATACACAAGTGGTTCTGAAAAATACTTCTGGCACTTTCCCAAGAGCCAAAATATAAGAGGGTGGCAAACACCCTCCAACAGTGTTCTATCATAGTGGGTTGCAACAAGAACACTTCTGAGAACATGCTTCTTACCGCTGCTCCTCAAAACATATTCTGATTCTGCCCTCTTGTGGTTACTGAAAATGTCCTAACTTTATGTAATTTTCATAAGTTGTTTTTTTTTTTCCCAGTGGTGGAGGGATGGCTAAATCTTAACAGCTTCTATATATTTAAGACAAGTCTTTCAACTATCGCTTTCTCAAGACATTACTTACAAAATGGATTTTACATCTGGATTTATGGAACATCCCTCTTTTCATTCAACAGCATAGATTTTGTATAAACCCAATGCTCCCTTGTAGACCAGACTAACAAATGAAAGGCTGAAATTACGGAGAACAAAATGTCAATTAAAAAAAAAATTGTAACCAAGATTCACAAAACAAATGCAACAAGTTATGTTTCTCATTGCCTTTGATCATTTTTATTCAAAATTAGCTGTCCAAAGTGATTTGACCGTTATGGAATAAACAAATGTAAGTTTATGCCACAGGCTTCTTTTCTTCTGTGGTGGGTTTCTTTTCTGCCGGCTTCTTCTCAGCTGCTGGTTTCTTGGTAGCTGCAGCCTTTTTCCCCACCAAAGGTTTCTTCTGCTTCTTAAGGCCAGCAGCCTTCTTTCCTTTCTTCCCTACCACAGGCTTCTTGCCTGGAACACCCTTCTCATCTGATTTGGCTTCTAGTGCTGCTGCTGCTTTATCCACCCGAAGCTTGTGCTGCAACAAATTAAGAAGAAAAATCTAAGAATCAAATTCTCTAAAAAGGTATCCTCTATGCAAAAGCCAAATCATCGCTTACATTCTTGGCCTGCCGAAGAATGGTGTTCCGGCGCATAGTCTTTGCATATGGGTTTAGCTTCAACATGATTCTCAGGTTTTTCAGTGGATTCTTCTTCAGGACTCTGCGGTGAATCTTCTTGCTATAAAAAGGTAGACACTATATTAACATTTTATTTACATTAAAAATAACCAAGTATATTGAGGTTGGGGCAAGAATTACTCTAAATATCACAACTTTACCGTGGTGCTCGGAGGGCTCTTTGGATCTCTGGGCTTTTCAAGATTCTGCTAAGGTCTGTATTGAGCATCTTGTGCATGGGAAGGCTGAAAGAAAAACCAAGATGTTGAAAATAGATGCCCAATCTTATTTCTCATGTGATTAACATGAACCTCAACAGAAGATAAAGTTTTAACCATTTAAAAGCTCTCCAGAATTCAATTGAAATTTCCAACTACACTACCATTTCTCAGAGTATCTTACCATTTCAGTATATTACATCTGTATATAAGGGGAAATAGCAACAAAACAATCCGTTATTTAGAAAACAAGAAAACCAATTCTGAATGTAAATATCCATAATATAAAAATTTATGTTCAGTTTATGAACGTAAGAACACTCACTTGTAGTTACTCTTGAGGGAGGCAGCTCTACGCCAAGTGCCATACAGCTCATCTAACTTGCGGAAAGCACTTTCAGTCCAAATGCAGAAACGGCCCACATGCCCTCCAGGTGCAAGTTTCAAAATGTTCAGTTTGCTTACATTAAGCAGAGTAATTCCTTTTAAAGGGAAAGGAGAATTAGGGAGCATGTATTTAAAAAGAAATAAATCACACGACACATAAATCATCCTTATGGCTTATGTGCTAGATAAGATACCTTAGAACTATCATCAACTATGACGTTTCAACCATTAACTGTACACTCACTCATTCAGCCAAGAATCAGACATTCCACAAAATCATGTGCTTCAGAAACACGGACCATTAAGTGGAATCTCATCATAATAAAAGCTGAGTAAGCATGCATAGTATGGGCAATCAAAACACGTAGGCAATACAAGAATTACCAGGGATGTTTCTGAAGGCTTTGATGATACCGTTGTCCTCATTATAGATGATACAAGGTCCCCTGCGCTGGATACGACGACGGTTTCTCATTTTGCCCTCGCCAGCCCTCATTCGCTGAGAGACATAGACCTTTTTTATATCATTCCAGGCCTTATGAACGTAAGAACACTCACTTGTAGTTACTCTTGAGGGAGGCAGCTCTACGCCAAGTGCCATACAGCTCATCTAACTTGCGGAAAGCACTTTCAGTCCAAATGCAGAAACGGCCCACATGCCCTCCAGGTGCAAGTTTCAAAATGTTCAGTTTGCTTACATTAAGCAGAGTAATTCCTTTTAAAGGGAAAGGAGAATTAGGGAGCATGTATTTAAAAAGAAATAAATCACACGACACATAAATCATCCTTATGGCTTATGTGCTAGATAAGATACCTTAGAACTATCATCAACTATGACGTTTCAACCATTAACTGTACACTCACTCATTCAGCCAAGAATCAGACATTCCACAAAATCATGTGCTTCAGAAACACGGACCATTAAGTGGAATCTCATCATAATAAAAGCTGAGTAAGCATGCATAGTATGGGCAATCAAAACACGTAGGCAATACAAGAATTACCAGGGATGTTTCTGAAGGCTTTGATGATACCGTTGTCCTCATTATAGATGATACAAGGTCCCCTGCGCTGGATACGACGACGGTTTCTCATTTTGCCCTTGCCAGCCCTCATTCGCTGAGAGGCATAGACCTAACAAAGTGAGAAGCTTTAGTATTCTGATTAAGATGATCCCAATAACAGATATTTTGTTACAAAACACCATTTTATAAATAAAACTGAGATAAAAATGACTTCTGTAACACTAAAACACAGCTACAAATGGCAGAATCCAAACTCAAGTACTGTGACCCACTGTGTAACGACATCTCCATCAATGATAGACCACATATAGGCAATGGTACACTACATTGCCTAACTAGCAGACTACATACCATCTAGGTTTGTGTAAGTGCTTTATGATAATCACGTAACAATCACCTAACAATGCATTTCTCAAACTGTGTCCTTGTTAAGCAGTATCCGACTATAATATGGTTCCAGAGTCCTTGTTCCCACATCCAGGATGTATAGTTGATACTGTCCTTCAGCAATCTTTTCAAAAAAAATTCTGACAAATTTGTGAGGACTACCAAAACCTATAAATGTGTTCATTAAACCTACCTTTTTAATATCATTCCAGGCCTTAAGTTTCTTAAGAAGCAAAACAGCCTCCTTGGTTTTCTTGTAGCCTTCAACTTTATCTTCAACCACCAAAGGAAGTTCAGGAACTTCCTCAATACGGTGACCTGACAAAGCCAATTAACACTGACCTGGTTACCTTTTGAAAAATTGAGCAGCACTTTATATAACCCACAGAAGCAAAACAGTATACAAATTGCCAAATCAGAACTTCCACAAATATCATGTGTTTCAGAAACACGGACCAATGAAGTGGAATCTCATCATTTTGACAGTTAAAAGTTGAATAGGCAACATGAAGTTTAAATGATAAGTTTCTAATATGCTAAATCACTGTATTTAAAGCACTTCGCCAGTTACATAGCACTCACCAATGACTGATTTGTTAGAATTAGTATGTAATAAATTTAGTCAGGCACTCTGGGATGAATAGTTTACACGTTATTATTAACATAAGGAAGAGGTACAGGTGGATGGGAAAAGTGGGTATTTGTTATCACTCCTACAATACAAAATATCACAAACCTTTAGACATGACCAGTGCTGGTAAAGCCGAGGCAGCAAGGGCAGAGCAGATGGCATATCGTTTCTGTGTTGTGTTTACTCTCCGGTGCCAACGGCGCCAGGTTTTGGTTGGTGCAAACATGCGGCCCCCACGACACATCTATTTTTCCCAGTTAAGAATCACATTTCTCAAATATTAGGGGGAAGAGATTGTCTTGCTCAGTAAGAATTTTCGTCACCCTTCTGAACCAGCTGACTGACAG